CACGCTGGGACCGCGGCTCAGGGCACCGCCCACCTCCCGGCCCGGGGGGCGGGGATTAGTCCTGAGGGAGGAGTTTTGCCAAAAAGACTGAAAACGGTTTGCGTGTTCACAAGATTAAATGAAGCGCTGAAAGAGCAAACAACAGTAAATGGCTTGTATTTTATCCCTGAAGATGTGGTGCACCACCGAGTGGTGGAACGTACATCAGAGAGGGCTGAAGGCGCTTCAAGTGGATACTTACTACAACACAGTAGAGCAGAAAGTGTTGGAGAAAGTTTTTATTCAATATTGGACTCTCTGGTGAAAGCTTCTGAATAAAAGCACGCTTTTACAGTTACAACTGCTTACCCCAACCCTAGCCACTCCGCAGTCAGAACCCCGCTGCTGGCGCAACCCTCCGTAAAAACGATTCCAACGACGTTTGTTCCTTTAAAAGCAGCACTGCCAGGTCAGCCCCGATGCATTTATCTGTCCTTTCTGTCAGACCACATTAAACTGTGGTATTACAATGGCAACGGAGAGACTGCTGGTGTGAAAAGCCATTCAGCTACTCACTCCAGACGCAGCTGGGTCAGCTAAGACAGGTAACACAGGCCTTCACAGCCCATGCTGCTTCACTTCCCCGCAGCTGCAAGCAGAGATTCAATATCCCGAATCGCTTTAGAAGTTTTTTCCAAAGCCTCCAAGACACTGCCTTCGCTCATTTCTTCCGACTCACTCCTGTTCTCTCTTTTCCTGACGGTAATGCCAGATGGATTGGACTTTTCAGCAGATGTCCTTTCCAGAACACTGCTATTATCCAATAAAACTGGTGCTATTTTGTTAAGAAAAAATATCACTCTTCCTCGTAATGAGGAGAACAACTGCTCCATATTTGAATCTGCATTTCAAAGTCTCACATTTCATGGCATGGTAATTACATAAAGCTAAAAAATAGAAGAGTACAGTACTTTAAATAGCTACATTTACAGAAAATGCCTTTAACTAAGCTTCAAGTTATCCAAAAGTTACTTTAAAAAAGAAACTATCTGACATCACACCGCACAGTTTAACAGCATGCACTTTTCATACTTAACACTGGCTTAAAGACAATTATGCCGTGGCTTTAAGCACATGGGGCAGAGCACACGTTTTTGAGCTGGCTGAACACAATGGAACCACACTGAGGTTGCCGATGAACAGAAAGGTATTGTACTGCAACAAAGCCCAAAAGCAACTGTGTCATCCCTCTTTCAGGAACAGATCAGCAGATGGGTGTTACCAAAACTAAGGCAACACCCATTAAACTAATGCATCACCCATTAAAGAGCTTCCTTTTTTGGTGTTTGGGTTTTTTTTTTAGTTCTAGTTTCATCTCTCCCACTGTTTTTGTTTCTGGTGCTGTGATGCAGAACTTGGACAAGATAAATGATAAAACAAAAATTATAAATAAGGAAAAAAAAAAGGCTAAAGGTAATTTTCAGAGCGGGTAAGATAGTAACAGGGGGTGAGAACCAGAGAGAGTCTTTGATGTAGATTTGAAAACACAGATAAACAACAGAATACAAAACTGAAAAACCCTTACAGTTTTCAAAAGGATACAGTTAAATCTCTGTATTTTTTTGAGCTCAGCATCAGCAGACCTGTCCAAGAAAATAAACATTATTAAACTATTCAGTATCATTAAAAGTTCTCAAATGTATTTTCTACTTCAGATTTTTAATATTTCCAGCAATACTGAAAATTAGATGAGCAAAATACAAGTGAAAAAAATGCTTTATTTTTATCTTTCATACCACTACTCAATGGCTGCCATTCAGCAATCATGCGTGTTTCCAAAAATCAGGTCTCTGAGAATAGTCTCTGCTGTATGTAGGTATAAATATAGATACAATTTTCATTTCATCAGATACTGAATCTGCTATAATTTTAATAACAAGTGCAAGTGTAATCAATTTCAATTAACAGATTTTTAATACCCAAATATATTTCCACATGATGTCAGCAGACCTTAGGTCAGTGGTATGTCTTAAATGGACAAATATATTAGCAAGTGATACAAGCGTCATTGAGCAGTTCGAAGCACTGCTTTGAACTGCAGAGTGTTCTGTTAAAAGATGCCTTCTTAGTCTAGTTGTTCTTTTTCACCTTGCACAATCCTATCTCTGAAACATTGCCCTCCTTTGGCAAAGCTACCGCAATTCTGATTTTTAAGTAAGGCGGACAGCAGCACAATGAAGCAAGCGTCACCTGCAACACAGCTTACCTAAGAAGTTTAAGCACCGACAGAAAAATATGAAACCACGCAGGGGAAATGGATTTACAATTTTAATTTTTGCCCCTTAGGAAACAGAGTCGATAAAATTCACAATTTATAGTCTCTAAGTTTTATTTTCAACCTTATTAGTAGTAAATTATTTAGAAGGTGAATACCAATTTTCTTCAGTTACAGAGTGTGCAGTATATTCAGGAACCTTCTTTTCATTCAAACTTCTGCACCATTCTACTGCTGTTCTGACGTACCTATGTTAACATGAAAATTCACAACAAAGAGTTCTTTATAGAAGAAACACACTTTAAAGAAAATAACCTGTGAAGGCATTAAGCAATACACCTGGAAAGGAAAGCAAAAGCCATGATTCAAAACCTACCTTTTTCTCAAGGTTCCCTTGCCATTTTTAGATTCCCATTTTTTCTCTAGGATCTCTTTCATACTTAAATCTACGCAGTTATAGAAAATTGCAACAAAGCTGTATGATTTGTAATGAACAGTGTACAAATGTTAACTTTTGTTTGTGAATATCTGCTTGTTAAAATGCAGCACAGTAAGCTTCTGATGATCCCCATAATGAGGCTGTAATTAGGGCAAGCAGATGAGAGAAAGCAATCTGCAGGCAGAGGTCAGTAACTGTAATAAAGCAAAAATTGGATAAAATGCTATCCACTTCTGTGTACCAGCTCTATACAGAGCAAAGTGGGGTTTTTTCTTATCCACTCATGTAAATGCCAAGTTGCAGCTCTTGCAATTTTTTTAAAAAGACAGTACTGTAACAATTATAATGGAATGAGAGCATGCAGTGCTCCAGAGTCATGCAGGTCTTGAATCTTATGGAAGATGGGAGCTTTTATCATTATGTGTTTAGTTCTCGCCCTCCACGGTATATTTTCAGTAAATACCATTTCTTTATACGAAAGGATTCGTACAGAATTGTTCTGTCTTTAACTTCAAATTGCTTAGTTACTTATACCTTTCATAGATTCCAGGATGACTTATTTGTATTAGGTGCTGTGCCCCATCAGGAGTAGTCAACTTACACCAGCCTACATCTTCATTTACCTTAGAGGAAATAAAAGTATTAATCTGCTGCAGTCTGAAGGAAAAAGGAGAAGTACAGTATGTCAATTTAAGATCTAAGTATCTGTGAACATGCCACTTTAAACACTTCAAATTTGTGTTTATCTAAGAATAGCATTTGGTACAGTCTGCTATAACAAAAGCAGGGAGGGTACCCCAAAGAGAACATCTGGCACAGCCACAATACTCATTTTATACTATTCAAGAACAAATGGTTTCTAAAAGTGTGTAGGAATGTTTCCAGACCTGTAGACTTTTCAGTTCTCCATCCTTCTATCATGAGTGGGTATACAGCTTCGAGCCAGCTCCCATCAGGAAGTTATACTTCCCTTCTGACACACTGATTATCCTATTTATATTGTCTGTAACAGAGAGCTCCTCAGACACTTTACATATTTCTTGTGTGTCTTGTCACCTTGGGGCAATAAGCAGAGACACAGAAACCAAAAGGCTCAGCAGCCAACCTCGAATCCCATGCTCACCTAATTTTCTCTGTAGTGCCATTTATTAAAAAAAAGGTATATGGCATCCCATACACACAAGGTTACTTTTCTGATTATTTTTTCAAGATCCATTTGCTGGATTATATCTGTAATTTGAAGTAACAACCAAACACTCCCTCCTTTTATCTATGTGAGTCACTTCTTGAAAGAATAAAGCTTCACTTGCCTCTTTAGGCACCGGTTATGCACCAAAATTTTTTCTCCTCATTTCCGGTTAAAATACTGGCAGTATGTTAATGGTGGCATTTGAGCATAGTTCCTATTTTCACTGAGACTACTCTACAGTCTCAAGATTAAGCCGCAGCAGAAAATGCTTGTAAGTTATGTCTCAGGACTTCAGTTTGCATTTTATAGGGATCAAAACTTTTGTCTCATTTCCTCATTAGTTTCCTCGTAACACCTTTTTGTGAAAAGTTTTAAGAACACTCATTCCTCTTAACTCATTAGTTACCTGGATGATACTGCTGGAAGAGCTGAAGTCCCAGACCATATTCAAGGTCATCCCATCCCAAAAAGCAGCATGGGCTTTATGATCTGAGTACACAACAAGTCTTCCTACACCGGGAATAACCTTTTCATACAGCAAAACTGGCAGCATTTCTCGTCCATCTGTTTCGGGTACCTAGAACCAAACAAACGCTTAAAAAACTTGAAGAAAGGTTACTTAGATAATTATAGCTGTTTGTGTTTTTCACACAGATTTTCAATTCAGCTGTTTTTCCAGACCACAACCAGTTCTCCTTACTACACAATTACCTTCTGCTTCACACATACACCTTTACGCTGCATGCTTTTGTTTCCCTTCTGCTCCTCGTTAACAGGATGCACTCAAACCATTCTTCCTTCTAGATTAGGCCCTATTCCCTGTAGCCCATACAATCACCCTTGTAACACTGCAAGGTCTATAAATCTGTGGGTACATACCATTTTCCAGCAGCAGAGATGACAGTTATGAGCTAATGACAGCTTAGTCTTGTAGCAGTACTCAAGTATTCTGAGGAGAGAAAAAAACAAGTTAAAAATAAACACTTCATGCTTACAGTCTCTGCCACGCAGTTGTGATATGTAAGTTTACTGACGTCATCAGTGTTGATATGAATCCCTTTAATTTTTACATTTAGTAAGTATTATGCATCATTTTAACCACTGTCCTTTCAAAGTCAGAGGAATTAATGTAACAAAGATAAAGTTACTTGGTTGCTTCAGTAATAAGGGAGGATACAGAGTACGGATTTCCTGGTACATCAGGAGGTAGACTTTTTACTGAATACATCCTTTCTTCTCTCTGCAGCGAAGAGCAGGAAGGAGATGAGTTAGTTAAAGGTACTGTAGCATGAAAACAGCATTTAAGACCTGACAAGTTATGAAATTTCTGACCCCCTAGAAAGCAACTACAATGGCATTTAAATTTGTCCCAGAAGGCAGATAAATATACTCTTGAAAAGTAAAAAAAATGCAGTTGTATCCTTTAAGCCTACTTCTGTGAGAAGAAACATTCACGGTTTCCACGCACTCAGTATGGACCGAGAAGTTGTCTCATCAGAGAGCAGACTGTAGCTCATCACTGACTAACCTCGTCTGCCTGCAAGTTAAAACCTTGGTGCCAAGGGCTGACCCTTAATTCTGCTCTGAACTTACAAACCACTGCACAAGCACCCAGGAGGATCTCTGCTCTGGGGAGAGGTAACAACCCAGAGCGACAAAACCACTTCTCCAGCACTCAACAGCTGGTCTGTGGCAAAGCCAGAACAGAACCTGCACCTTCCCGCTTCTGTCTCCCTGCAGTCAATAAGAAAACATTTCCCAAGGACATGAAGATTAGACCCTAATCGATGTATTAAAGACTAAATTTCTCTTCTAAATTAGTGAGAAATGATTATTTGTGCCTTACTGCAGTACATACTTGAGCTCAGGAAATAAACGTTACAGTGAGTAAGATTTTTCTTACTGCATCTGTAATTTTCAAAAATACATTCTGAAACAGAAGGAATAATCTCATTTTTTCCTATGATCGATTGCTGGATTCAGTCATTATAGGAGTTACCAGTGCAGGGACTTCCCTACAGCCTGCACAGCCAACTAACTGTCTTAAAAGTAAGGAAACTGCTAACTTGAAGCAATGCGGAAACGTGTGTTACAGTTTAGTTTTATACCTTTTTCGTTCCTTTTTGGACTGCATAATGCATGAAATATTTTCCCAAAAATGCTCCCTCTGACTTGAAAAATGAGTCATCACCAGGATAAATTTCCGTGATGTTTGTCCTACCGTGGATAAATCTAAGGAAAAAAAACCAAGATTTTTAACAAGTATCTAAAATGTGTTGCCAGACAAGCAGAACAGGTCAGTACACTCGAAAAAAGCACTGAGCAGAAATCCTCACACGAAGAACTCCCTGCAACCTCACAAACCACAGAGCACGCCCGTTACTCCCCTCAACACAGAAGATTGACATTATCTCCACAGGGGTGAGGGTTACTGCATTTATCTTCAAGCAAGCGAAGGAATGGTGTTGGCTTTTCTTTTTTTGTGTTGAGCTCAACATCTCACAAGAGCTGCTTAATCCCCATTCCACCAACCACAAAATACAGAGTGATTCTACAAAGAAAAATCTGATTTTCCTAGTGGACCAGCCGTACCGAGTGCACGCACAGAACGGCCACACTGAACATTTCCTGAGGAGCCTGAAGTCTCCGTTTGCACTGCAGCTGTGTGTTTTTCACTGAGATCAATGGTCTTTCACCTGTGATCATAACGATACCTTGCAGCCTAAAACCCATTTACTGACCCAATTATGCAACTCTGTTGTTACATGCGTGGACTGTGGTAACGGGACTTACAAGACTAAGTATGGCTACTCATTGTACTACCGAAGAAATGAGGCATATTACTGAAGAACTGCTAAACATTTTGTTCAGATGAGATGAAAATTTAGTAACTACACCGAGGGAAAATGAAGAACAGTGGGCAGAAAAAGCTTTAAAGACCTATTATGCTATTATCAAAGACTTTTAGATGCTGACAGCATTTTCAAGTTTGTGTAACAGACTGGAAAGGGCAATGTAAAACCAAAAAAGTGTCTTTTTTTTTTTGGACATTTTCTTTTTCTTTTTTGTTTATGGACAAACCATATGGACAAGGTGACTTGCCAGGAAAATCCACAGTTCAGCTGCCTGCAGCATACGAATTATGTAGGTCACCAAGACAAACATTTCTAAAGGGTGAAATCCTCAGCATCAAAAGGAGCAATGTAATTTGCAAAGAAACCAAACATTGTAATTCCCAGTGAAGTCTGTGGGAGCTCCAGCTGTCCAGTACACCTTCAAGAAATCAGAACACTTCTTGAAAAGCCTCAGACAGGATTTCAGACACAGCCACTCTCAGACCTGGAAATACACTGTACTAGAAAATTTGAAGTCCAATGAACAAACAGCAGAAAGAGTGAGAAGGAGGGACCGAGTCAAACGTTTCATTTTAAAGCTTAATTTCCATACAAATCAAGTCTTCCGCAGATGGAACGCATGATTTCCTACATACCTATACAAAACACCCTGGCACCATACAATTTGAATTAGCTGAAGGCACGAACACTTCTCGGCATCTTCATTCTGAAAGAAGCCACAGAAACTCCACCTGTATAAAATACAACAAAAGCTTCACTAAGTCTGAAGGTTGGGGTTTTCTTGTGTGCTGGTAATTATTTTTGTAGAAGAACCGGCGCACGCACATCTGCTCAAAGGAAAAGAGGCCACATTCTCAGAGTCCTCCGATTCCTTCATTATCCACATCAGTTACCAAATTAATTTTCTCAAACTTGCAAAGAAAAGTGTGGGAGTTTGTTATTTTTAGTGGCACTGACGGTGAATGTATGACACTGCCCCACCTCAGAAGTATTATCCTCTCAAAAATGAAAAAAAAACCCAAACCAACACAAAACCTATGTGCTTTTTTTCCAGTATTCTCTTTTTTCATTTACATATTTACACCGCATGTCAGAAAATAGAGTTTGTTTTTCTCTAGACTAATTACAGTATATTCATTAGAGGTAGACACAGAACGTTGGTTTCACAAATTTCAAGTTTCAAGAAGTTCCAAAAGAGAGTACAATAGTAAATTTTTTTTTATTTTTTTTTTTTTAAATATAGCCAGAACTCAGTTATTTTGCTGGAGGCTGAAGTTCCAAACTGCAGAACTGTAAAACAGATGTTAACCACCACAACGCAAACAGCTCAGGTCACCTGTGTAAATGTGGAGCTCCGCAGCTGAGAGGCAAAGCTGTAGGTAAACGAGAAACTGTTTTGTGTGTTCCGGGGTCTACGGAGACATCAGCTTCTGTAGATACACGGTCGTTCTTCTTACGTGTCTCTGCCACGTTCCCAACGGCGCGTAAGTTGTGGCACATCCGTGCCAACGACAAAGGGTACTTCCATTCTTCTGGGTAGGAGGAAACAGACCAACGCTGTGTAACCCAGGTGTATTCGTAAGAACAAGCTGTGTAGAACAAAGGGACTCCATCTTGCTCCCGTGGCCTGGCTGGTTCTCTGTACTGGCCTTCAGCACAACCACGTTCATGTTGCTTACTCCCTGCTCTCGTTTCTTTCAATGACGTCTCTGCAACAGGGTGTTGACGTGGCTGTCCGTACCGATCTCCGGTGTGAGAGCTGCTGTTCTTTGGAGAGGCGCATGAGGATGCTGCCGATGACTGGCTGACTTTGCATAAGAACTCCACTGTAAACTCCTGCTGCAATTCTGACAGGTAAAGATGAGCATAACCATCTACCGACGAGATCCTCACACTGCCATCCGCTATGCATTTTGTCAGATCAGCCGTAGCAGGGTCAGGCCATCTAATTTCTAAGATATTGCTGAAAAGAACCTAATACAAGAAAAAGGATTGAAACGTGCGGCAAGATAAAAATTACCTGCTCCCCAGAAATTACAACTGAGGTTTTACATTTAAATGAATTCAGTCCTTCTGCAAGGTGGTGCATGGCAAGAAACTTTGCTCTGTATTTATCTAAATCCATGAACTCAAGAGGAACCAAAATATCTAACTTTCATATCTGGTTCCCCCTGTTCTAACAGAGTTCTACCTAGCAATAACATTTTAATTTAACGTGCATTCATAAACTAGTAAGGCACGTGGCCAACTGACCAGACACAACTGCCCACAGGCCCTAGCTGTTTCTGTCTCCAAATGCTTCTTAAGAGACACTGAAGAGAAAGCCTAAATTATCTTGATCATATCAATTACCAGAAGATTTCATGAAAAGTCCGCAGTAAAACCCCAAGTGCTCTGAAGTCTCCTCTTTATTTATAAAATTAAGGTAACCCTGTAAAATGGCATGTAACGCGTATTTATGTGTTCTTACCAAAACAGAAATGTATTGAAAACGTTTTGCAGCCGAGTGGCTAACCTTAACCCTGCTGCACCGCAGGTTAAGTCACACAGCTACTTCCAGGATGTAGATAAAACATATTTCTGAAGAAGAATTTATCATATAATTAAGGTTTTGGGTTTTTACAATACGGTATTTGGAAAGACTCAAAAAGAAGAGCCTCATCTTACTGCTGTGATACTCAAGTACAGAATGCTGCTTGAATTAGCACTTCCTTTCAAAACAAGCAAAAACCATTTTCACAGCACATGCCCTTGTGCTACCCCTTCTACAAAAATGAAGCAGATGATTCCCAACAAGTTGCTCCAAACAAGCACTGCAGCTACCTCAAACCCCAGATTGAAGCGTTGCTCAAAGATATAGTTTACAAAATGTAGTAATCACCTTCTGAAACTAGAAACATTCTGTCAAGATAAAGAATGCAGAAGTTCTGCCCTAAAATGAGTTATTTTCCTCTGTATTGTCGTCACACCTCGTCACCAGACACAAAATATCCTTAGTCTGCTTTCAGTTGACGACTCCAGGTAAAGCATTAGATCCCAAATAAACACAGAAATGCAAATCCTCTCAAATAAGGTGTGAAAAGAACTTGGCAAATGAGCATTCACACCCCTCATCATCTGCTTTATCTCAATTTAACCATCTTCGTGTCATCTGACTGACCTTCAGTTACGATCACCAGCTGAAAAGCCCCGATCATACTTTGGGCCAGCACTGGAAAAGCCTTGAGTGCAATTAAAATGAAACATGAAAGCACGCGCATACTGGTAAGGTGGGAAAGTTTGCAGAAGGGACACTGAAGGTGAAAATTTACCATAAAGAATTTCAAAAAGGACCCCATAAAAAAATAAAAATTGAAGTGACCAGACAATAGGGCTGCAGCCATTGCCACAGAGTGACACTGCCCCAGTCCTCTCGCAGGCCCCATAACAGACTCACGCAGGTGTTTCAGTGGGGAAAAGATGGGATTCTGAACCTGACAGCCTCTCTGGAAACACCATTTCAACGAGTCTTCCCTGAAAGGTTTCGAGTGCAGAAAAGTGAAAATAGATAGAACAGCTCACTGTATCCTACCTATAAAAACCTAGGTCCCAGTCTTACTAAACGAACCCTTTAGTGTCTAGCTGCTAGAGCTATGCAAAAACAAAAGGTGCTAGTAAAATTCCAGGTAGTGAGCAAGTGACATAGCCTTGGAGGAAGGAACAGCACAACATGGACCAAGTCAAATGAGAGAATACCAAGATACTTAGAAGGGCATGGAATGGCTGATGCAACCAAAGAGGTCACCTGAACTATATGTGAACTATCCTAATTAGCACAGTAAAAAACCCATCCTCGGACAGAGAAAGCCGCCTACCAACAAGAGCCCCTTTCCCACACTTCTCCTGCAGTAAAAAGGAGGATACTGTGACTTCAACCGAAGAGGAGGCATGGCAGAACCCATGGGAACCAGGATGACTCAGACTGTCAGAACACTGACAACAGTTGCTCGGGATGTGTCAAATGCCACCCTGTGCTGGCTGGAGCGGGCCAGCTCTGTGGAATTACCACCTAGCACCCACCTCTGCGCAGACATGAGAGGTTAAAAACAAGCATCTCGACTCCGTGTATTGGTCGGCTCTTTGCACATGGGGGGAAGAACTCCGATTTTGGGACAACATGGTGACAGATGAGACGCATAAAGAGAGGCCTGAGTGACACGGATGAACACCGGCAACACTCCCATCACGCCGACAAGCCTGGCGCGCTGTAGGCCTTCGCGGCCTGTCCCCGTGCACGTGGGCATCGAGGCGCGTGAGTCCGCTCCGACAGCCGCCGGGGAGGTTTCTCTTACAACAGCATTACACGCGGAACTCTCACCGTTTTCCTTCCTGGAGGTATGATGCGAGAAGGTAAGTACGGGCGGGAAGAAAACTTGTTCCGGAAATCGAGAGCTCGCAGAAGTCGCTCCTGTCGAAGAGAACAACACGCACAGCACAACCCGGCTGCGTCAGGAGTTTTACCG